ACTAATCTTTTCGAAATTGTCTGGGCTGACACATTGATGAATTATAAACAATGCTTTATAACTCTGTTTCTCAGATTCTGTATATTTCTTCTTTTCTTCTTCTGAAGCATTTTCGCCAAGCGCTTCGACTCCATCTTTTACAAGGTCCCAAAGGCCTTGACACCTTAATAGGACTTTCATCTGTTTGCACCAATTCTCATAGTTGTCAACTTTCAGAATTGGCAGCGTTGCTGGATAGTTTGCATTCCCATAACTTGTCATCGTGAATTCTTCAATCGTTCTTGATTGACACTTCCCTTGAATCGTAACACAAGCTCTTGATACCAGATGTTGGAAATCCACCAATTCTTTATGATGAATTTCGACCACCACTGATGATTAGTTATGACAAACAAATAAAAAGAACACTAAAAATATTTCTGCAGAATTTCTCTTCTGCCCACAAACTGTGGAATCTTTATTATTCACTTTGCAACTGCAAAATACTGTGAATGACTTGATTACAAAATAGGGGTTACTCCCTCTATTTATAGATTTAGGTTAGCTTGCTCCCTAAGCTAAAATCAAGCCCAAAATATCTCTTTACTAAATCAAATCTAATCTAGATTTAAATTCAAATCTATTTAAATCTAAACAAATCAAATCTTCTTTATTACAATTTAACAGTACAGAAATAAAGTTATCTGATTAACCAAATTTATAATTTTATTAATTAATATTTTAAATTTATTAACCAATTTTATACTATTAAAAATTTAGACAATTTATTAATTAATTTTATAATTTTATTAACTAACTTTTTATATTTTATTAATTAATTTTTTACATTTCATTAATCAACTTCATAACTACTAAAAATATAGATAGTTTATTAACCAAGTATATAATTTCACTAACTAACTTTTTATATTTTATTAATCAATTTTATTTTACTACAAAAATTTATTTTTAATATTTTAATATTTATTAATCAACTTTATCACTTTATTAATTAATTTTTTATATTTTATTAATCAATTTTATTTTATTATTAAAAGTCAATCTTCATATACTATTTACAATTTAAGTTACTGTTCATACTAAAAAAATTGTACACATTACAGTGTTCATAATTAAAAAAGAAATTGTTGACATTACGGTGAACAATATTTAATATTTAATGTAAATATTTTGACGTAGAAGTGAGTGTAGAAATAACACACCTGATGTGTCAATGTCATCATTGATTAATTAGTCATTTATATCTAATTGTAGAAAATTATTTTACTCCACACTTTTAATTTTATTCTTCTATCATGTGAATAACGGGACAAAAACAAATGAAGACAATATTGTTGTATATGTATTTACAAATTGATTTCAAAATTGAGCTGTCAAGTGTATGATATTTGGATATTGATTCCCAATCTTTTTGAAATGATGTGTTTATAATTTTTAGATATCATTATTAATATGTACTAGTACTTTTTAGGGTATATGATTTCTGTTTTTAAACGGTAATACATTAGAGATTTAACATGCCATCTTTGTTATCTTTGTTATATATGGCAACCTCTAAAGAATATGAAAAAATAAATTAATTAAATTATTCAAACCTAATATTTTTTTTTAAAATTTCAAACTTTTAGTACCATATCATATTTTTTAAATATATTGAATGATACCGGAAATTTTAAATCGATGTTAGAAATTTTGTGAAATAGTAAGAAATTTATGGTGGATTTGTGTAATGTTTGGTATTTTGTATCGGAAATTTCAAAATATCCAGTATAATCTAATTAAAAATATTGAAATTTTCGGATATAGTATTTACCTTTTGTACTAGAAAATTTGAAATTTTCGGAGCTTTGTAGCATGTATTGGAAATTTCAAAATTTTCGGTAGTTCAATTTTTTTAAAAGTACCGAAATTTTTTGAATTTCCGGTAGTTCATATTTTCCTAATTTGTCCCCCTTCTTTTATTCATTATTTCAGCGAGGATCAGTGGTAAAAATGATTCTGTTACGAGTAAGGCGGCCGAAAGAGCGGAAGCTCAGGCCCGAGCTGACGAGGCACAAGCTTCTGAGCTACAGGCTGGACGACATCCTCTGATCGGTTCTCACTGGAAACAGATGGCTGAGCAACAGACATAGTTTCGCACACTCCGCCTTCGAGGAGTTAGAGTTTCTACTGTCGAGGAGGTACACACTCCTGCTCCTGTGGATGTGCCTATGATTGAGCCGACTTTTGAGCATACTATTGAGGAGCTTGTACCTGCTGTGGAGTCGATTCCTGAGTAGGTTGTGGAGCCATTTCTGAGCAGGTTGTGGAGGTGGTTGTCGAGTCGGTAGCTAAGCAGGTTATAAAGCTGGTTCAGTAGGTTGTTGCTTAGCGCATTGGCGATGTGTCCCCTATTGATATAGACACCACGACTCATGCATCTACGGAGCCATCAATTCACATTGATAAAGCCTTTCCAAGCGGACCTTCAGACATGTCCATGCTCACAGGATTTGTTGACCATGTCGCTTACAGGATATGGCATGACGCTGTATATATTTTAATTGGTTGATGTATAATGTTTTATTTTTGCAAGTGTTTGAAAGTTGATGTATAATATGTTATTTTTTCTTCTTATAGGAGTGTCTGGTGCTGAAGGTCGCTTCCCATGGTTCGAAGTTGAAAAACTTCCCAGAGGGTGACATGCCTGAGGAGATCAGTAATATTGTTAGAGATTTTCAGTTGCTGGAGTTCGCTCAGTGCTCCTTGACTATGTTGGACGCCTCCCCGTTGTCTGCTTTTGTTGAGAGGTGGTACCCAGAGACATCATCATTTCATCTTTGGGAAGATGACAGTCACATTGGATGATGTCAACACCCTGTTTCATATCCTGGTCATATTAACCATGAGACGGTGGTGCGCGTGATTGTAGATGTTTTGGAGGTATCTGAGGCGAAGGTGCTAGAGTAGATTGGCTTTAACTGGGGATTTCACCTTTATATGCCTTGGCTCAGAGATAGGTACATATAGCATGTGGAGGCTCATATGTACCAGGCTGCCGCTAGGACGTACATGCTACATCAGGTGGCATGTACTCTCTTTGCGGACAAATTTGAAGTTTACATCGATGTTCGTTACGTCTCTGTTCAGCACCCTTACACTCCTTGTTGGGATTGGGGAGTGGCGGCGTTGACCATGCTTTACATGGCACTTGAAGTTGTTACTCAGCCTGAGACCAGACAACTGACTGGTTTAGCCTTTTACAGGTATACTATAACTTATTTGATGGTTTTTATTATTTATTTGGGTGTATTTATTTGATTGTTTTTATTTATGCAGTGCTAGATATACAAGCACTTCCCCCACACCTGGGACTGGAAGATCCAGCGTGTCCCGACTACTGTACCATGTGTGAGGAGATAGAAGCCCAAGCAAGCACTTCCCCCACATCTTGTTGTCAACACTTATCCATATACCTTGATTTGATTCATCGGTTTCGTAATCCTAGTGAAGAAATCAATTATGCTTTAACTTTCTTCCATCTGAAGCAATTTACTCGTTCTTTTTTGAGTTTGTAACCTCACCCCTTTTACCTTTTCTGCATCTTCAAAATAATTTTCCATAATTTCCCAAGCTTCTTTCACAGATTCCACATCACTAACTTTTTTAAAATTGTCTAGACACCGACATTGATGAATTATAAAGAGAGCTTTATAATTCTTCTTCTTCAATTCTTTGTGTGTGGCTTCTTGTTCATATGCCACATCTTCTACAAGTGGTTCTAACCCTTCTTTCACAAGATCTCAAAGATCTTAAAAACATAACACAACCTTCATCTGCTTGTACCAATTCTCATAGTTATCAACTTTCAGAATTGGAAGACTTACTGAAAAATGTCCGCTTGGATGATTCATTACCATCGTGATTTTCTTCTCTTGAATAGCTCAATTGGAGCTCTTGATACCAAATATTGGAAATCCACCAAACCTATGAAGAATTTCTATCAATCTTGATGAACAAGATTGTTATCGATACATAATGACAACGAAAAGAAAGATTTAGGGTTTACGAAAAATATGGGAGAAGATAGTGATTTTCTGCAGAGTAACACTCTCTTTGTCCACAAACTGTGGAAAATCTTATTCACTTGCAACTCCAAATTCTGTAAATACAAGTTGCTTTAAAATAGGGGTTACTCCCTCTATTTGTAATTGAGCTAGCTTGTTCCTAAGCTAAACCCAAAAATACAAAATACCTATTTTGGTCTAAGTCGAAATACTGTGTGAAGCAATCTATTTCGACATTTCGACATACAACTTGACATACACACTTTGACAAACTAAGTTGACACAAACACTCTAGGCTATTTTCGACCCACCTTGTGTCGAACAACATGCTGCTTTGGACACAAGGAATTACACTTTCAACACACTCCACTTTTTTGCTTCGATTGGTGAAATTCACAATTTGTTTTGCAATTTTGAATACATATTTAAAATTGTGGTGGAATTCTAATTTCAACAGTATATAATTTTTGAATTAATTCGTTGATTTGGTGATTTATAGATTTTACAAAGTCTAAGTCACTATCTAACTATCATGGATCTTCCATAGCATATAACATGTAAGTTTTTGCAAATTTTAATTTGAGTTTTTTGTTTTATACCATTTTAATCAAAATTAAAACCATAAAGATATTTGTGATTTTTCTAGATAATTAATTGTTATTTTTTATGTTTAAATGAATTCGAAATCGTCATATTTTATGTTGGTATTGCGGCTATGAAATTGAGTTAAAGTGAGCTGACTAAAAGTTAAAATTAATGATTAAGAATTTTTTTTATTATAAATAAAAATAAAGCACGGTTAAATTAATCTAAAGAGTGAGAATTACTCATGTATCACTGGATCTATTCTCGAATGACTTTTTCAAAGCTGTCTAAACAGAAACATGGCCATATTCTTTCATTTGATACTCTTAAATCTATTTCTCTCTCTCTCTCTCTACATTTCAACCTTATATGCAGAGAATATCCATGTTACTGTGCTACATTACATTCCTTCATCTCATCTTGACTAGTTTTGCTTTTGCTCACTCCCATAACTATATCATCCACATGAACATATCAGCCATGCCTAAAGTATTCACAACCCAACACACATGGTACCAATCAATTGTTTCCACTAAGTTAATTTACTCCTACACACATGTCATTAACGGTTTCAGTGCTAATTTTTCACCAAAAGAGCTTCAATCCCTCAAAGCTTCCCCAGGCTACATTTCATCCGTAAAAGATTTCAACATGAAACTTTACACAACACATTCGCCTCACTTCCTTGGCCTCAATCCCAACATAGGTGCTTGGCATGATTCAGAGTCTGGCAGAGATGTAATTGTTGGTTTAGTTGACACTGGTATTTGGCCAGAAAGCAAAAGCTTCAATGATTATGGTACCACTAAAATTCCTTCAAAGTGGAAAGGCCATTGTGATTTCAATTCATCAGTTTGCAACAAAAAACTCATTGGAGCTAAGTTCTTCAACAAAGGACTATTAGCAATGTATCCAAACAGAATCACAACTCTCCACTCTACACGTGACACTGATGGTCATGGTACACACGTTTCGTCAATCGCAGCTGGAAGCAGAGTTGATTCTGTTTCATTCTATGGTTATGCACCTGGAACAGCTTCAGGAATAGCTCCAAATGCACGTGTAGCAATGTACAAAGTTGCTTATGAACAAGATTTGCTATCTTCTGATGTAATAGCTGCAATTGACGCCGCAATATCCGACGGCGTTGATGTTCTTTCCTTATCATTAGGAACTGATGAAGGGCGTTTGCCTCTGTATGAAGATCCTTTAGCTGTAGCAACTTTTGCAGCTATTGAAAAAGGTGTTTTTGTTTCAGCTGCAGCTGGAAATCGCGGACCCGGGCTTAACACTCTTCACAACGGAATACCATGGGTTATAACCGTGGCTGCTGGAGTTATGGATAGAGATTTTCAAGGGACTCTTACACTTGGAGACGGTACCAAAATCACAGGCTTGTCTCTTTATAAAGGTACCTTTCCTATCCACAATGTTCCAATTGTTTTCATGGGTTTATGTGAAAATGTTGAAGAATTGAAAAAAGTGAAGAGTAAGATTGTGGTCTGTGAAGGAAAAAATGGAACTAGGTTTTATCAACTAGTCTATTATTTGGATGAAGCAAAAGTGTTAGGAGCTGTTTTTGTTTCAAATGACTCACATATAGAAGATACAGAAAATAGGTTCGCATCCCTCATTATTGATCCAAAAAATGGACAAGTTGTCAAAACTTACATCAACAGCAGTAGTAATTCTTCAATTGCAAGCTTGTCTTTCAAGAAAACGGTTTTTGGAACTAAACCAGCACCTACTGTTGATTCGTATAGCTCAAGAGGGCCATCATATAATTGTCCGTTTGTATTGAAACCCGACATTACTGCACCCGGTACTTCCATCTTAGCCGCATGGCCTGCAAATGTTCCCGTGAAAACAATACTGCCCTACAAATATTTCAGCGAATTCAATTTGTTAAGTGGAACTTCTATGGCATGTCCCCATGTTGCAGGCGTAGCGGCTCTTTTAAAAGGAGCACACCATGATTGGACTCCGGCAGCTATTAGGTCGGCAATTATGACAACATCAGACATATTTGATAATATTAAGAAACCTATCAAAATCATTGGAGAAGATAACAAAGTAGGAAACATTGCAAACCCTTTTGCATTGGGTGCTGGTCATGTCAATCCTAATAGAGCAATGGACCCCGGTCTTGTTTATGATGTTGGCGTGCAAGATTATGTTAATCTTCTCTGTGCACTTAACTACTCACAAAAAAACATCAGTGTTATTACAAGGTCCTCTTCCAATGATTGTTCTAAACCTTCATTGGATCTCAACTATCCTTCTGTTATTGCTTTCTTTGGTGCTCATAATTCTACTTCAAGGACAGTTCAAGAATTTCACAGAACAGTTACCAATGTTGGTGATGGAAAAGCAACTTATGTGGCTAGAGTTGCTCGTAGTAAAGGCTTCCGTGTCCGTGTTATCCCAAACAAGTTGGTGTTCAATGAGAAGAACGAGAAGAGAAGCTTCAAGTTGAGGATCGAAGTTGCCAGAATGCCGAAATTAGAACAAGTGGCTTTTGGATATCTGAATTGGATGGATAGGAAGCACGTGGTTAGGAGTCCAATTGTAGCCACCACTCTGCAATTGAAATTCTAGATATGTTGGAGAGGTTAATTAATCAAATATGTTCCAAGTGAAAAATGTAAATTGATCAAGAACATATAAGATAAATAATATTCATTTCTCTCTTGACTAAAATGATTTAGTAGGATTCATTTTTATATTTTTTATATACTGTTATTTTGTTACAATGATGGTTTTTAATCATTTGAATGACCCAATTGTGGTGGAAGTGAACCTGAGAGCTTGTTGAAAGCCAATTGTATGATATTGAGAAGTGTGAAATGATCAAATTGAAAGGGAATTTGTCCATGAAGTGAGTTATTGGAAAGGTCATGTGAATGAAGGTAAATGAGATTGGAGAGATTCAAAGGTAGTTTAGCAGAGAGGATAAGTCCTGATAAGATGATAGATGGAACTGCTTCACCAACTTTGGAACATCTGGCACCATACCAGGTGCAATGATTGGATTGTGCTGTCCAAATGGATAGAGCATTGTTTGAATTAGTTAGTTTGTAGTAGTTTTTCAAATACTAGAAGGATATATCTGTCTGTGTTTTTGCTGGTGCAAACGATAACATGAAAAGGAAAAAAAATTACTACTAAGTACTTGGGGCAATATTGCTGATTGTGACCTCTTCAGTCCCTGCTATGTTTCTCTGAAGAATTTCGAGAGAGAAGCCTTGCCAATCCAGAATATGCTAGAAATGCAAGCATAAACAGATTTGTAAATTTCCAAATACGTCTGGAATTGTACCGGACAATCTATTTTGGTATATCAATAACCTCTCCAATTTCTTGAGTTCTCCTAATTCTGATGGAACCTCTAGTGAAATAATCATGTTCAAAAGCGAAGGATGTGAGATTTTGAAACTTGTTGATTCCTTTAGGAATGCTTCCATTTAGCTGATTATTAGAAACACAGAACTGCTGTAGATTGCCTGAAAGATAGGCAACAGAATTTGGAAGTTCACCAGTCAAGTTGTTACCATTGACCTTAAGGATTTGCAACTGACTGGAGTTTCTAAGTGAATCAAAGAACTTTAAATTCAATGATGTTGTGGAAGTGAGAGAGAGTTATTACCTACTGTCAAATCAGTAGGTTGTTGAAAAGAGGTATTGGACCATGAAATCTATCTATTAAAAGAATAGCTATGGAAATCACCACTAAAGCCTTCTTTAATTATGTTTATTCTAACTTGATTTCAAGGATAATTTCAAATAATTAAGCTTTGCTTAATTTATAGAAACTTGATAATTAATTTTGCTTATCTGTCAATTTGAGAATGCATTTCACGTGCATACACTCTCAAAGTTAATTTTTTTCCGATTTACTCACTATTACCATTCATATTACTCCACTCCTCTCTCATAAAAAGTACTTTCTCCGGTATTTTTTATCAGAGACATTTCACTTAGCTAGATTTATTATATAATTAATATATTTGATATGTATTATAGACTAAATATATTAATTATTTAATGAATCTAAAAAGGTGAAGTATTTCTTATAAAAAAGATTGGAGGTAGTGTAGCGGTAGAAATGTTTAAGACTAAGTCATTGGATTGACTTGACTCGCACAGATAAAAAAAATAAAAATCGCCACCGCGCTTTATTTTTTACAAAGGAATATGAAAATAGCGAATAATCCAAAAGAGGGGGAAAGATTCTAGGTAAGGGGTTGATTATGCAAAGGGAATGTATTAGCACCCTAAACATCTACGGTACTCCACATGAACCTCTTTGTAAAATCTGTATATTTTGGCTATAAAATGTTGTATAAAAATAGATGGTGGAGGTGAGAGAAATATTTTTTATGATTTTTTGCACCCACCGCGGTTGTGAACCTTTACTGTCTACATACCACCTTTCGTGCAATAGGGGATCATGGTACACGTAGTTCCTCTTTAAAAATTTTAAAACACAAGTGTGTTGGTTAATTTTATGAGATAAGACATCATCGTCATTGTCCGTGTGGAAAATATACTTACTACCCACAATCATGAGAAAGGAGAATTTGCATCATCTCAAAGTGGAGGATATGACTTGGATTTTAAAATCAACAATGCCTCACTCAACACCCAAGTGGAAAATATCTCTCTTCACTACATATTGTAGAAGTATAGTTGTTTGTATCACTACAAGGATTGCCAAGAGTCTAATCTTTTGAGAAATTTTTTTAAAGTAAAAGCCAAAGTGGCAAAATGATTTGAATGAGATTGATTGATTTTTAGTCTTCTTACAAAAATGTCAAGGTATGATTAAGTTGATTGAAGTTTATTTATGAAAATATTTTGAAAATGCATGGACCTGAGTCCAAGTTTATTATGAAAGTGGTTCAAGTTTAGAAATAAGAAGAGTTTTCAAAAGGAGGGAGAAGATTTTTGAAATTAAAGAAGATGAGAGGAGATGAATGAACTATCCTAAAGCATAAAGTAAAAGCTAATGAGAAGAACCATCTAACCAACAAGAATTCAATACTTTACATTATGAGTCAAAATAGAATTCTCATTCTTTGGATTGAAACCAAGCAAACAAAGATACTAGACCTCTTGAGAGAACCAAACTTCAAGTGTATTAAGTCTTCATAAAAATTGGGCAGAGTAACGACTGTATACGGGTGAATTCTAGATTACAGACAAAGTAGATTGTTGTACCCCAAATTTTTCCCTCCCATTTCTACTCAAAGCATGCTCCTAGAGATCCTCAATTGCTCAAGGTTGACCAAAAATTGATCAGACAAATTCTCCTCATAAGCAATGAACCTCTAGTTAGGGTTTCACTTTTCATCAAGACGTGTGAGCTCCAAAGGTCCCAAATGTTTTCCATGATCCTATTATGCCTTCAAGATTTTCCATGACAAATTTCACGCCTTCCACTACAAGTTTGCTCATTCAATTGCCCAAATACTTGAAAATCAATTGTACTAGGTCAAAAGTCAATTGTGGCCCATGTACAGTCAAACTTCAAGATTTTTGGTCAACATCAATATTTTGAAGTGACGTCCATAATTTTATCAAGGGTTGATCATGATTCCTCAAGAAATGCTCCTAATCTATCAAAAGTCAAAAATTGCTAAATTAGGGTTTCTATAGGAAAAGTCAACTAAACTTCGACCAAGCATAACTTTCATATACTTCATCCATTTTCCCCAACCAAAGCTCATATTTAAGATAATCTCATTCCCTACAACTTCTCTTTTATCCTCAATATAAAGAGATGCACCATTTGAAAGATACAAGCTCATACATTACATGTCATTTTTAGAAAGTCAACAAAAGTCACTTTTTGCCAAGACCTTTTACCTCAAGATAAAATCTTCAAATACAAAATTGATAAAAAGAGGGATTGAATTGTACATCTTAGGCTTTCCAAAAAGTTCAAGATCATCATCATGAGATGAAAATTGAGCAAGTTATGGCTTGCCCAAGTTGGGAAAATTTGGGAAATCTCAAGAATTATCCATTGCAAACTTGAAGTTTTAGGTCAATGGCTTAATTTCTTGGACTTCAAGTATCTTCCTAAGCTTATAGGGGACCTATAAAATAATTCTTACCATGACTTAAATTTTCTACCTATTTTGTACATATTTATTTTATTTTATCCAAATAAATATAAAATAAAATGTATAAAATAATTGGAAATGGGCTTTGAGCATTTGGGCTAGTGTTTTGGTCAGTCTTGGGCCCAAGAATTCGTGCAAACAATGTCCAAGTTCATCCAAATTTGAAAAGAGACAAGAATTCCATGTCTTTTTCCAAAATTCAAATTCTCATTCATGGCCTTGAAGAACATGTTTATGACGGTTTCATTCCTTGCTTTCTTGTCCCCTTCATCTCCACTATATATACAACACACTTGCAAGTCAAAAGGAAACGAAAAATAGCCAGAAAAAGCTCTGTAAATTTTTGCAAAATTATCAAAGTTGTCAAATTCGCATCTTCATTTCCATCCATCCTCAGTCCAAACCAAGGACTCAAACACGTTCCTGAAGGCCCCCTGAAGCTTTTGCAATCATTACCACACCCTGAAACATCACGAAACGTCCCAGCAAGCTCACACGGTTTGCAACTTTTTCCAAATTCGTTTTGCTTGATTCATGTAAAATAAATCTGTTTTGACCATGTATTATTAATCATTTGAGTGTTTGCAAGCTCCATATATAGCTGGATTGAAGGTTTGATGTAGGAATGACATTTTCCATGGTTAGGGTTTGAACCTCTGAATTGGGGTTTTTCGAATCAGCCAAAATTAGACCCAACTAAGGGTACCATTATGCTCAAGAGGTCGAGGCCAATTAATCCATGGCCTCACATTGAATTTATGTTGCGTATTGTAGATTTTGTTGAGTGTAGGTGCTATAGTGACAGACAAAAACTGTCACTATAGGTCTCAATACCTAAGACGACCGAGCAAGGACGAAGATGAAGCGTGGCAGCTTCCCACTGGGCCATTCAAACAACGCAGACGTTTTTTTATTTATTTCTCCAATGTTGACATTTCATTGCATATTATTTTATTGTTGTATTTGATGTAACGAATGACATGGTAGCTCAACTGGCAAGGCGCGTTTGTGTGAATGGAGAGGACCTGAGTTCGAATCCCAGGTCCAGCATTTTGTTTTCCGACAATTGTTCAACACATATCCAATACGCATGGGCTATACAGGTTCATCATACGCCTCCAGATCATAACCACTAGATCCTGATGGATATAAATCCAAGGGCTTTAACACGCAGATCACCATGTGCCATCAAGAATCTTTCTCACTGGATCCAAAAGCAGGTCTGGGCTCTCTATTGGGCCTAACGAAATTCAATTTCAGCACCCCACATTTACTTTTGATTTCAGGCCCAGTTTTTTTCTTCTTTTTCTATTCTTCTTTTTAGCTTTTTTTATTTGTTTTATATTTTACTTTAAAATCTTTTTTTATCAAATCATAAAAATAAAAAAAAGATAATAATTAGACTTAGGATTTTTTCTAAAATTAATTTTTAATTTTGTAATTTAATTTAACTAATTATTTTGATTCTCA